ACATACCCTTCCGGAATCGAACCTGGGACCTTTCAGTCTGCAGGCCGATGCTCTATCCACTGAGCCAAACTGGTTAGGGCAAATATAATGACTCTTATGGGAGACCTTTCAGTCTGCAGACCGATGCTCTAATCGGTAAGCCAAACTGGTTAGGGCAAATATAATGACTCTTATGGGAGTCAGCAAGATAGGATCATTTAGCATAGTATTGGGAATAGGCACTTGAGTTTCTATTACCTGATTCTGTATAACTCTATAAGATAAACACCTTGAAACTGATGGCATGATCAATATTTTTTTGAGTTGGATTATTTTATTGAACAGTGCCTCTTCAGGTAATGCAAGAAAACTTTAAGAAAGCAATTTAAGTTCAACCAAATCCCTTATGAATCTTGTGCTGTTTCTGTATGTGTGTTTACCGTTCTTCATCATACTTGGAAGTGAAAGTACCTTGTGTATCATTTTTGGAATAGAATGCCCAAGATTTCAAACTTCAAGTCTACTGATATTATTAAACTGTAACTTCTCATTATCTTATAGCAAAGCTTTGCTGAAAACTCCAGTGTGTGTTGGCATTTCCATCACCTACACTATATATTGAAGCCCCCAGTTCCCTTGACGTTATTTGTAGGTGTTTGCAACCATTTGCCTGCAGACCATCCATTTCACTTCCAGTTTTAACTGGCTCTTAAAATTTAAATTTTTTTTACAAACTAAATTTAATTTACTTGAATGACTTAAAGGTAATGGATTACTAAAGTTATTGATAGCAAAACTGATGTTTTTCTTACTCTACCATCAGTTAGCTTGCTTTTTGTTGATGTTGGTCTCAAACAGCGGTTCTCAACCTGTGGGTCACGACCATCGGAAAACACATATAGCATATCAGATATTTACATTACGATTCATAGCAGTAGCAAAATTACAGTTATGAAGTAGCAACGAAAATAATTTTATCGTTGGGGGTCACCACAACATGAGGAACTGTATTAAAGGGTTGCAGCATTAGGAAGGTTGAGAACCACTGGTAAAAAAAAATCCAAGCAAAAATAAATATGAAATCACCTGTAAACTTTTATAAAGATAACATATAATTGTTATGTTATTGTGATATTTGTTTTCTGGGGATTGATCATAGCCTTTGCACCCAGGATTAATTCTGTATGTAAACAAATATATCACGAATTGAGATATTAGGTTTTTTTTCCCCTCAAATACCCAGGGAATATCTCCATGTTACTAGCTCTTGGAATCTTTTATATTTTCACTTGACTTATTTGTGGAGAGGAATTAGAATAAAACTGTACTCATGATTAAATATCAGGTGAGGCTTTACATTTCCATGTATGCTAAAACATATCTATTTTTTGCCCCAAATGTATACTAATTTCCCACTATTTGTCTCTCGTGTCTGTTGAATTTGAATTCTTTAAAGGGATATGCTTAGGAAATTAAGCTTTCTATGTGATTTCTGAAGAAATGTCAAAGAATATAAGCCCGAACTATAAAGTCAAATACCTGTTTAAGTGAACAGTGTGATAATCTATGAAATGAATGATGCCTATTTGTAGGGCCTATAAATGGCTGGTCATAAGACTTCACCTCTTGGCAGAAGCATTTGAATTCTTGCAGAGTCGGGTGTTGCGTTTTGGAAATGGATCACACTGCAGATTTTGAAAATGAGTGGTGTTAGTCCTGACTCCTTCAAAATATATTCCTCTGACCTTTCAGCTCCCTTCATCTTCTCTGTCACAGCCAAACTTGGTTAAGTGAAGTTTAATAGTAAAACTATTTTAGTCACCTACTTTTCTTTTCCACTCCCCAAGCAAACTAATGTTAAATACTTGCTTCAAGGATTTATACAGACCTCTTGATAAAGCTGATAAAAGCTGTAAAACTAAATATTTATGAATGTTTTTAGAAAAAAAATTCTATTTCTAGATTCCTGCTCTATAGTGTTTATAAAATGATTCGATGGCAGAAGTGACCAACAGAATGCCAGTGATTGTTAATAAAGCAGCAATGTCTGTAGCAGTTTCTGCCCTTCATTATATTAGAGCTATTTTTTCTCCTTTCACTAAAAATGGCTAGATGGAGGGGCAGTGTCATTACAAAATTATCACAATACTTGGGATTCCATTTTTTACAGGGTGACTTCTTTTTTTTGCACTTGAGGAAAAAGATGGATTTAAAACTCTGCACCTTGCTTCTTCTACTTAATAATATAATATATATTGGTGATTTTTCTATATCTTCACGTACAATCTCTCTCTTTTTAGGGGACATAGTATTCCATTATGTAGGTATACCACTGTTTGTTAAGGCAACCGGAACTTTGTTAATGGACATGTAGGTTATTCACCATCTTTTGCTATTAGAAGTCTATAATAATAAAATGTAATATGCAAATCAACCAAATGGCTGAACAGTGGAAAGAAAAAGCAACATGCAGAAGACTACATATTATAAGAGGCAATCTAATCTAATAAGAGAAACATGCAAATTGACCGTACCCTCGCTATGCCCAAGCCACGCCCACCAGCCAATCAGAGTGGCTATATGCAAATTAACCCAACCAAGATGGCGGCCGGCAGCCATGGAGCTGGAGCAAGCAGGAGGCTTGGTTGCCCCGGCGATGGAGGAAGCCAAGCTTCCCGCCTGTCCTGGCCGGCTGTGGCCTCTGCTAAAGGCAACAAAATTTCAATTATAGAAGATAAATAAATCCCAGATACCTGCTTCCAGACAGCCTCCACTGGGAGCTTGGGTGGCTGGGGGCTGTGGCCAGCCTGCAAACAGCCATCAGCCCCTCACCCAGGCTGGCCAGGCACCGCAGGAGACCCCCACCCTGAAGGGGTTGTGGCCAGCCTGCAAACAGTCATCAGCCCTTCACCCAGACTGGCCAGGCACCCTAGTGGGGACCCTCCACCCTGAAGGGGCTGTGGCCAGCTTTCAAACAGCCATCAGCCCCTCACGCAGGCTGGCCACACCCTCATGGGGTAAGGGTCCCTGCTGGGGAGCTTGGCAGCCTGCAAACAGCCATCAGCCCCTCACCCAGACTGGCCAGGCACCCCAGTGGGGACCCCCACCCTGAAGGGGCTGTGGCCAGCCTGCAAACAGCCATCAGCCCCTCACCCAGGCTGGCCAGTCACGCCAGCAGGACCCCTCTTCCTGATGGGGGTGTGGCCAACCTGAAAACGGCCCTCAGCCCCTCACCCAGGCTGGCCAGGCACTCCAGGAGGGATCCCACCCTGAAAGGGGTGTGGCCAGTCTGTAAACGGCCCTCAGTCCCTCACCCAGGCTGGCCAGGCACCCCTGTGGAACCCCCACCCTGATCTGGGACACCCTTCAGGGCAAACTAGCCAGCCCCCACCCATGCACCAGGCATATAATAAAAGGGTAATATGCAAATTGACCCTAACAGCAGAACGACTGG